GAAGTTTCCCTGATTTTGAGGATCATATGCGCCTTTTAGATAGTTGACTGTCGACCTTATCATGTGAAATTTGAGGCGGTGCAGTATCATGGCTCACATGAGCTTGATTGTTCTAATTGTTTCTTGAGGAAATCTCGTGTATTTAAATGCTCAGTTGGACGTGTTACGAAATGTATATAGTTCTACATCCTCAACGGACAAGCCTCCTGTTTTAATCACTTCCTCTTGATCAACTACTTACTCTGATATCAACAACTCAAAATGGAGATTACCAAAGTAATTTACCCCAGACCAACAATACCCATCCCCAATGTCACTAATGCATGCATCCACTAGGTCGGTATTATTGGAGCTGGCACCATGGGGGGCGCCGTCTCCCTCCTTTTCGCAGAAAAGGGTCTCGACGTGTCTATTGTCGATACATCAAGAGCAAGTCTCGATAAGGTTGCGAAGAACGCGGAGGCCGCTGGACTATCGAAACGGATCCACATATGCGAAGACTACGATACTCTGTGCCAAGGACTTGGTTCGCCCAAAGTCTTTATCTTTAGCTTGCCAAATGGCCGTCCTGGTGATAGTGTCGTCGCCCAACTCAAGTCACGTGTCTCGAAGGGCGACATCCTCATTGACGCTTCGAACGAAAACTACGAACGCACACAAGCGAGACAGGAGATTCTCCGTCCTCTTGGTGTTGCATATATCGGACTTGGGATCTCAGGTGGTAGCTTTGGAGCTAGATATGGTCCATCACTTATGCCGGGTGGTGAGAAATGGGCTGTTGAGCAGGTCCTCCCTCTTCTTTCTAGGATCGCGGCCAAAGATGACCAAGGTCGTCCTTGTGTGACAAACATTGGCACTGGTGGAAGTGGTCACTTTGTCAAGATGATCCATAATGGTATTGAGCATGGAGTTATGTCCAGTCTCTGCGAAGCATGGGAGATCATGGATAAGTGCTTGAAGATGACTGGTGACGAGATTGGTGACGTGTTTGACTCCTGGTGCGAGAAGGGAGAATTGGTAAGTCCAAAAGCTGATTATATGTGGGCTTGCTAACCAGTCATGATACAGAAAGGAAACTTCCTCGTATCGATTAGCGGTCCTATCTGCCGAACTCGAAGCCCTGTCGATGGTGGCTCTCTGTTGCATCAGATCAGAGATGCAGTTGTCCAAGATGCCAACGACTCCGAAGGAACCGGAGTCTGGGCTAACATCGAAGCCGTCGCATCTCACGTCCCCGCGCCGAGTCTGACCGCCGCCCATTACCTACGACTTGCCTCAGCCGAAGTCGAGCAAAGAAGTGCTGTCAAAGCCTCCATCGGAACCTTCTCCCCAAAGCCCTTCACCGTTGCACCTGAGAAGCGAGCCCATATTCTTGAACAACTACGACAAGCCGTCTATGTCACAAGTCTAGCGTGCTTCATCCAGGGCTTTGATGTCATGGAACGCAAGAACCGACATGAAAGTTGGGGTGTTGACATGACACGCGTCTTGCATATCTGGAGAGCTGGCTGCATCATCAAGTCTGATTACATCTTTGACATCCTTGACGTTGCATATGCTGAGGGCTCTGACGTGCATCCTCTGTGCAGACCTGGAGTACCGAACGAGATTAAGAAGTCTTGGCCTTCGCTCAAAGCGATTGTGCTTGAAGGTCTGAAGGCTGATGCTCACTTACCTTGCTTAAGTGCCACTTTGGAATATCTCAAGTACATTGGAGGAACTGATCTTCCTACTTGCTTCTCAGAAGCACAGCTGGATAGCTTCGGAGCCCATGGATTTGATCTCAAGTCAGAGCCTATTAGACATCTTTTGAAGGGTAAGTTACGCTTATTATAAGTCAGACTGGATTCTAGAAGCTAACATAGTCTTATTAGGAACCCACCACGAGACATGGTCCGGTGCCTAGATGAATGTGACAAGTCCCAATATTGACAACCTTGGTAGAGGTGATGGCTTATTTAGTCAGGCACTCTTTCTTTGCATTTCATCGCATTCATCAAACCCTGTTCCGAGCAGCGGGAGTATAATAACCTGTTGGTCACCATCAACTACCATTTGCACAGAATTTCGCCACAGCAACATGGAGTCTGTCCCTTGCCTCCTTAGCATCACTCTCAAGAAAGAAGCGCTCACCAAGCTTCAGAGTACCTGAGAGCTTAAAGGACATTAAGCCCCTAAGAGTAAGCAGGATATCATGTCTTTGGTTGGTGAAAATACGGCAAAAAGGCTTCTGGACAGGCAAAGCCATGGTCTACAGAAAGGCAGTTGTTATAATGCTTAGGTGCTTCAGCGAAGTCCAGAAGCTATGGCAGAACGATGCTTCCCTCTTGATCAATTTCCTTTCGAGTAGAAAGCCCAAAAGGCACTTGGAGGGAACTGGAATGTTGATTGCTAGTATTTAGCGTCCTAGTTGGAAGATATAGTACTCATCCCAAAGACCCAAACAAATTCAAGTCTCTCACTCACCCTGAGGGATAAGTGACTTCATTTAATAAGAAAATTAAACTGATATCAATTCGAGAATTTCATGTGAAAGCGTATCTTGTTTAGTATCATAAAGCTCTAAATATACACCCTATCAAAGTGTAATAGTGTGCGTTTCTATAGCTAGCACCAGGACGGTTTTCAAAGTGCAACGAACGTAATAATTCTCTCCTTTGGCCTACTGTGGCCCCCCCGACTCACCAACTCATCAGAAAAGTAACTCATGTCAGACGTCCGCTGGTTTGCATAGTATAGCCTCTCCATCTCCTTGCAGCTTGTGAAGTGCAGTAAACTGTCGGGAACTGGAGATGCTAGGCTGCAAGCACAAACGCCGCCTTTACAGTGTTTCATTGCTGGCTCAACACTAGGTCAAGAAGGTATACACAGAAATACCTCCGTCTCCACCAGTCTTGACATCAATCTTGACATTTTCAGTATTCACCCAATTGACTGATTGAGAATAAGCCCTGTTGGCGTTGAGAGTCTCGCCAACGAAGAAATTTCCAGGCTCACGATAGAAGTCTGTCTGGAAGAGTTTGATGTAGTTCCCGTTCCTGTCGAAGTACATATTTCCCACTTTGCTAGTGGATTGCTTCTTGGTCGAATGGATATATTTCTCGCTCACTTGGGATCCGCCAGCCGAGTTGGTATACCAAAGCACAAGGTCTATGACCGGCTTGCAAGTGGCATAAGGAGGATCCAAGTCGTTTTGAACGCAGATTTCGGTTTTCTCACAGACAACCCATTTACGCCAAACCCGGCCATTTCCGTCCCGGCAGAAGACCGTAAGGATGTTTGACTTGAGGCACTCAGATTTGGTGTAGGTCTGGTCTGAGGCGCAAATACTGCGTGTTGCAGGGGTAGCTCTGGCGAGTAGCTTCGCCTTTTCCTGGCACCCTTCTTCCTCAGGGTGGCAGTCATGCACAGTCTGACCAGGAGTTGCAACCGAGATCTCGTCGAGATTGAAGGTAAGGGGGGTCAGGCCAGTACTGTCGACCGCCTGGTCCCTCGGGGTGATGTCCCCCTTGGAGCCGGAGACAGCAGCCGATGAGACCATTCCAGTGAGGAGGAGTCCCACAAACATGCTTGTGGTGGATTGAAGACGCATTTTGCCTGGTTGGGCCTTGGTTTTTGGTCTTGAGTTTTCTTTAGAGTGCCTTGGTAATGATGGTAACTTGAAAGCTAATGGCGTTGAGAAAAGATCGAATCCTGAGGAAACTGCTGACCTCTTTATAGCACTATTCGGACAACAAGGTGTGCGCACAACGGAACAGATACTAGCTGTGCCAGAACTATCATACGGCGATAACTTTCCTCCTTTGACCAGCTCCGAAAGGTATTGAGCTTGCTTATCGTTCTAGCCTACCTAAGTAGGTAAACTCATGGCATATGAAAGCTAATTTCTCGTGTTGACGACCACGTTTTGCATATTATTGGTATTTTAGCATCTGATTCAAAATTACAGACATTAAGCATATCTACAGGCCTTGCGGCTACTGCAGTCTGATTTAGTTGGATACGAAGTGGGATAAGACGATAATATATAAGTCCCTGCCAGCCAGACATGCAGTCAGTAGTCGATTGCTGGTTGGACAATGTATCGGATAAGGTTGGCAAGGTATAGATAGAGACCCAGGCTAGTGCAGTCAAATAATCATCTAGGTCTGCTCTTGTCGTTGATTAGATTCACGTCGCCTGTTAAGACAGTTAAACTAACTTTCTGTATCATAACAAGTCAACCCATACATGCTAACTACCTAATAGGGGAAGGTCGATTCTAATGGGACTTTTGATTCCGCAAGCCAGGTCTAGCACATCACTAATACAGCCTGTTTGTTTAATTGACTTCCGTAAAATCTGAAGCCATCACGAAGGGAGCTAATACTAGTGAATATGACATGGGGCTCCGCAACGACTAGGCAAATGCCGATTCGTACACCCGAACAATCGGGCCTTTCACCTTGACTTCTCATCGATACATAAAATTTCATCGTTATTTTCTCTTAACTTGTCACGTTTACTACAGAATTGAAGCTAAATAATCGTACAGGATCGGCTGCTTGGGATTTGTCAAGAAAGCAGTTGTTAAGATTAGATGTGACTAACTATTGGTTACTAACTTGAGCTACCCCTCAACTTTAGGCTATTCCTGAACTGCAACTATAGACTGTTGTGCTCATTAAGCGGAGGCCGGCACTTGAGCGGCGTCCGCGGACATCGCTACTGTTGTGAGCAGGGGGCAATTTTAGTGCAAAATACCTTACATTAAATAAATTGTTTGCCGAGTTTATCAAGGTTACGGCTGCAGGATTCAGGAGAAGAGGCTAGTATCAGATGTTGTGTAGCTATTATGGGCTATTGTTTGTGCCGTGTCCCGATTAACAGATACTGGGGGTCATCAGCGTCTCATGAGTAGGTAAGATAAGAACACGATAAGGCTACATAAGAACTAACAATTAGACGCACTGACTTGGAAATACCACGGAGAGCAGGAATTGGTCATTGCAACTGTTAATCTAATATGCGAACTTTTGTCCAACCATCTCCTCACTCTTTCTCCAAAGTAACTCTGCTTCCGTTGAACTTGTAGCCCATGGTCTGACCGTATCAGTCATAAGGTCTGCAAGACGGCATTCAAGCAGATATGCACCGTTGTGTTCTATCACGATCAGTATTATATATGGGTTTGAGAGTATTGGAGCTCTACTCACCTTTGAGATCAGGATCGAACGCGGCAAATGCGTGTGTTGCAGCGCCGACGTCGGAGGAAACTGGGACAGTAGACCAATCTACCCAACCCCAGGGGTCTCCCATTGCACGATCAGCTTCGACTACTCTCATTAGTTTAACCTGCACTTGAAGTCATCACTGAAGCACTTACCCAAACTATCCAAGGTATCGAGATGTTTGGCCAAAGAAGTATCAAGGATTGCTCCAGGATGAAGCGAGAACGCTTGAAGTCCGCGACTGCCTAGCTTCTCAGCGAGAGAGATGGCAAACAGCATGTTTGCTGTCTTTGACTGCCCGTAGGCACTCCACTTGTTGTATCTTTCACCATTCTAGATGCAGGTTAGCAATAAATTCATAGTGAAGTGTCGTGAAACATTACACTGAAATTGGGGTCGCCCCATCGAATAGGCCCCAAGCGGTGACCATTGCTGGAAACACTGACCACCCGAGGCGTCTCTGAAGCAAGGATCTTATCCATGATCAGATTTGTAAACAAGAAGTGGCCAAGATGGTTCGAAGCAAATTGATTTTCGAACCCATCCTCTGTCAGCTTAAAATCCGTTGCCATAATCCCTGCATTGTTAACCAAGACGTCAACCTTAGGAACATCCGACCATCCATTGACCTCTTCTGCAGCTGCACGAACAGAACGAAGAGAACCAAGATCGATAGTCAAAAGTTTCGTCTTGAGGTTGGGATACTTGGCAGCAAGGTTGTCTACAGTCTGTTGAAGCTTGCTAACACTCCGACCAGCTAGAATAACTAGTCCAGGTTCTGCGACTGCAATAGCTTCTACAAAGAGTGCACCGAGACCACCTAGGCTTGCACCTGTTGTAAGGATGGTCTTGCCCTTGATGATGGGTGCATACTCTTGTGCGAGCTGGTGAACCGTAGTCTTGGGAGTGTGCTGTACCATGATGGCTAGGAGGTTTTGGATGGAAGATGTAGGATCGAATGGTATAAGATAATGGGGATAGGTATTACTGAGGAATACTTCGTTCCTTTTATACTCGTCTTTCAACAGCAAATTATGTGGATCTCATATGATCTGCAGGCAATGTTTCCGGGATAGTGTGTATGGCTGGCGTCAGCAAGATCCTAGTGGAGTTCCCATCCAAGGTAAAGATTCTGACATGATTGGTTGTCCAACCTCCATTCCCTTGGACCAGCACGACAGCCCTCGATTAAGGTAGCATCAGAACCAGATGTAAGCACATATTCCTCAAATGGCCCTGCGATGATGATAAATCCGAGGCAAAGTTGTATGAGTACTGTCTGCGTAGGTCCCGGCACTTAAGGGCTGGAGACAATTGCCTTTTTCTGCTATCTGATTCTGTAAAGGTTACAGAACTCTTTATTGATCACCATTCTGAGGCGAATATACGTTCTTTGTTATTCTTGGTTTGTTGACTTATTTTGTCACTTGGTATCAATCCTGCCGGAATAAGTCAATGACTTCTCGGCAAGATATTATAAACTTAAACTTTAATCACAACCTTCATCCTGAACTTCCACCATATTACTGTGCTTAAGTAATTAATTGTAAAGTTAAAACTGAGGGTATAAAACCCTTGCCCCTCGAATTCTATTTACCTATCTTGTTCTTTCTATTCTTCGCACTCTGTATTCTCATGCAACCCATTGACTCTTCACAATGGCTTCATCATCAACCATCTCGACTCCCCGGCCCTCAAATGACCTACCCAGACTCCCAGTCGAGATCTGGGCTCACATTTTCGATGATCTTGAACCACTAGAGAATTTCCAGTCCTTAATCTCTGCTTCGCCCACCGCCCTTGGTTATTTTCAAGTGGAGAAGAGCCGTATCCTACGCCCGTTTGTGGATAAAATCAACGACCACATCGACACCGACATTATTCCTATTCTGCTGTCCTCATTCAGAGTCACAAAACTGCTGTCCACAACACCAAGCCTTACCCTACCCCAAATCGGAGATGAACTTTCAACGTTTCTAAATCCTCTTTTCAGACCTGACACTCCAAACCCCTTTCAGCAATGGGATCAGAACTTATCAGCTATTATCAAGCTCACCAAAAGTTTCCCAAAGATCGCCAGTATGGTGTGGTACTACACAGGTATCAGAGAGATTTTGCGGCTTAGGATGTCGTCCTCCACGTTGGCTAGCCACGCCGAAGCACCCGGATCCGAAGTCAAGAAATTCCTTGTCACCTTCATCTATCAAACTATCTTACTCGACTTATCTACCTACCGTGATGGCACTTTATTCAACCCTAGAACATCTATTCTAGACTCGGTGGCGTGGGAAGCAGCCAACCCGAATCTCGAAGACGTTACCCCAAACTTATGGCAACCATCTTCAGATCAGACTGGGGCTTTGGTCATCAATGATCGTGGGCTGGTGCATGTCGCAGTAGAAATCGCACAAGGCCTCCATAGACAAGGCGAGGACGCCGAAGGGGGATATACCCAACTGATGCCTGTAAGGTTTGTCGGCCAGGGGGCAAGGGGAAGATATGGCGAATTGGGTTCGGTCAAAGTGTGCTGGGGTAAGACCCTAAATTAAGCGCAGGTAGCTAATAAGGACTCCAGTCACTTTGGATCCCTCCACTCTCTACACCACTACCTTATAGGAAATATGGTTGAAACGACCCTGGAGCGTGGTCGGTTTCTCCGTTGCCGACGCTCGTATCCTGTTTGTCGGCTCGGCTTAATGGAGGCGTTCGTTGACAGCACTCAGTCATAGGGTGTGCGAGGCGATGTTAAGGATAGTCAGAGGGGGAAGCTTCTGGCAAGCGAAGACAGCTCGCCAAAGCAATATGGTTAAAATAATTACATTTCTCCTTCGGATGTCATTGTTCTTGACATAAAGCCTATCCTCTCCTCACTCATGCGAGGGTTCATTGATCTGCTGCAAGTCTCGCGAAATTGTCATTAACAATATATAATTGCGAACACAATTGGTAAAAATAATAGAGTATTGTATTATTATAGTTAAAAGTTATATGCGTTATAATTGATAGAGCTGCGAAAGGGTATTCCGTGATGTAAAGCGACAAATTGGTATACGTGTGTTCCAGCCTTGACCATTATCCCTCGTATCGGAAAAAGAGTTCAAGCAAAATAGAAGCAAAGAATGATAACAATAAGAATAAATAAGATCCCATAAGTAGAATATACTGTCATAGAAAAGGTAGAAATGGGCCATCGTCGCGTTACAAGGTACACAATCCATTGACGCAAGCACAGATTCCCAGTGACGTACACAAGTCGAGGTTTGCCAGACAGTCATCTTCCGTAGAACAAGATACATCATCGACGCAGACTTCTTGTTGGCAAGTTTGTCCAGCGCTGCACTGCGCGGTTGTCGTGCATGTATCGACGTCTACCGGTGGACCGCAAACCGCATCCACGCAAACGCAGAGGCCAAGGACACAAAGAGGCTGCAGAGATAAGAGGCAGTCAACATTATCGGAACAGGAGATGGTACCCCCGTTACCAGTACTGGGCGACGATTCCCTGCAAAAACCATCGGCGGCGCATGTCTGACCTGCGACTGTACAGTCGCTGTCGTCAGAACATGGTGTTTCCGAGCTAGTTGTGGCTGGTGCATTGTCCGATGTTACAGTGACGAAACCGCTGCTTGGGTTTGCCGTCTGTTGACAAATCAAATCTATACAAGCAAAGATCCCCAAAGCATTTGCGCCAATTGCTGCGACACAGTCCTGGTTTGTCGAGCACTCGATGTCGGTCGTGGCTCCCGGAAAAGGGGGCTGAGTTGTCGAAGGCCCAGCGCCAGCAGTTGTGGTGGTTTCTTGACAGAGAGCGTTGACACAGACAAATAACCCCAACGCCTGGGAGCCGAGAGCGACAACACAGTCTTGATCGGTATCACACTCAACGTCAATTGTAGATCCCGAAGCAGAAACCCCAGTGTTGGTCGCTGTACCAGCAACGCTGGCTGTTGCTGTCTGTTGGCAAAGAAGATTGACACATGCGAAGATACCAAGAGCCCCAGCGCCAATGGCAGCGACACAGTCTTGGTCCGTCGAGCACTCGACGTCAGTTCCTTGTACAGACGCGGCAGGCTGGGTAGCAGCAGCACCAGCTCCAGAAGCTGTAGCCGTCTGCTCACATAAGAGATCTATGCACGCAAAGATTCCTAACGCGTCGGCTCCCAATGCTGCCACGCAGTCTTGATCTGTCGAACAATCTATAGGTGCGGTGATGGTGGGAATCGCGATGGAGCCTGTTTGCGAAGCTGTAGTACCTCCATTCGTAGGGTTGGCAGTTGGCTGAAGCTGGCAAATGAGGTCCACACAAACGTAGATTCCCAAGACAGACAACCCGAGGGAAGCTGTACAATCATCAGCATTTGAACACGGTACTGATGTTTGGGCTGCTGGTGCCCCGGCTGTCGGAGTTGGGTCATCATCGCCGCCTCCACCACTATTCGAGTCAGGGCCAAGCTGACATACAGCGTCCACACAGACACACAAGTTGAGCCCACCGACCAGACATAATGCTACGTCGGCCACGCAGTCGTCACTGGTAGAACATGCTGATCCTGTCTGTCTAGCCGGCTCATCAGCTGTTGTAGTTACTGATGCGCCGCCGTCAGACCCTGGATTATTGCCAGAAACCGTGCTTGACACTTGAGAGCCACTCGTTGTAGTGTCTCTAACACATACTGCATTAACGCAAGTGCACAGATTGAGTACGCCGCTCAAACACAACGAGACATCGGCCAAGCAGTCATCATCGTCACTGCAAGGTGTCCCTCCTCCACTCTCGGTCGGCAATGAAGGATTGCTGCCCTCGGTTCCAGATGCCGCGGTAGAGCCAGCACCTCCTGTAGTGGAAGCACCATCTGGGTCGGTGCTCGGGACACATACTGCGTTCACGCAGGCGCAGATGTTGAGTCCTCCGGAAACACAGAGCTCAGTATCAACGACACAGTCACTGACATCCGAGCAGGATGTGGGGGATCCATCAGTGGGTGACGGGTCTTGGCCTGTAGTTGTGACAGATGAAGACTGTTCACCAGTCGACTGGCCATTGGAAGAACCAGTCGTTCCAGCCCCTTGGCTTGGGTCGGCTCCCAGTGAAGTCGTCGCTGAAGGTTGACTGCCACTTGCACTTGTCTGACCTCCGGCGTTAGGGCCGCCATCAGTGCTTGAAGGTTGCCCACCGCCTGTTCCAGATCCAGCTGTGTTTGAGGAGTTTGGCTGGCTGGCAGCAGTATTTGAAGTGCCTGAGCCTTGAGTTGCTGTGCCAGTGCCGCCTCCATTATCATCAGTAGCGGAAGCACCCCCGTTATCCGTCGACAGTATACTTGATCCTTCTGACCCTTGAGTGCCTATGTTACCACCACCACTGCTATCTGTTGGCGATGGGTCTTCATCCCCACCACCCGTAGGGTTTCCTTCAGGGCTTCCAATCTGCCTCGAAGTCGATGTTGTCAATCTTCCAGATGCCCCCGTTGAGCCAGGGCCAGGGTTGACGATTGGTGCCCCGTCGGATAGAACCGAAGTTGGTAATGTCTGGCCTGTTGATCCTGTCGCTCCTGATCCACCTAGTCCTGAAAGTGAAGAGCCACCGGATACAGACGCTCCCAATGTTGCTTCTGAGCCATCATTTGACACAGGATCACTCGAATCAGGGCCGCCCTCGCCGCCTGTACCACCTCCTTCCGTGCCACCAGTTTGATTCGGAGAGGATGCTGATTGCGACCGGCTGCTGGACCCGTTGCTACCTCCAGATCCACCACCTCCAGAGCCATTTCCTTGGCTACCAGTTTGGCTTGGGCGGGCTCCAGCTTGTGTACTAGAGGTCTGTCTGCCATTTGACCCTGTATTACCACTATCGGAGGTATTGTCGGCATCGGGATCACCACCACCAGGGACATTACCTTGTGGTCTGGCCGTAAGTGCTGGTTGGCGCGTTGTTGTTGAACCGTTTCCACTGCCATCTGAACCATTGCCTGGTGATGAGCCGGAACCGGGCTCAGATCCAGTGCCGTTGCCGTCACCGTCTCCACCATTTGATCCGGACCCATTACCTCCCGGAGATCCAGAACCTGAACCATTGCCTGCCGGCGAATCAGACCCTGAATTTGATCCGTTTCCGGATCCACTTCCGCTTCCTGGACTTGTCCCAGATCCTGAGCTTCCACCGTCAGAAGCGCCATCAGAAGAGCCATCGCTTGAACCGGAGCCGGAGCCTGAGTCGGAGCCTGAGCCATCTCCAGATCCAGAGCCACTACCAGAGTCAGAGTCTGACCCAGAATCCCCAGGATCGTCACCGCCAGAGCCTTGTCCTTGTGTACTGCCAGTCTGCGACCCGTCACCAGAAGAGCCATCCCCATCAGAGGAGCCCCCGCTGCCCTGACCTTCCCCACCTGTGTTGTCGCCGTTCCCGTTTCCACCACTTGAAGAGGGAGATCCATCGTCGACCCCATTATTTGAACCGCCTCCCTGGGTTCCTCCGCCTCCGTTTGAACCTGAGCCTGTGCCATCGATGGGAACACAAGCTCCATCTTGGCATGTCTCACCAGTAGGGCAAGCAACTCCATTGCAGCTAGCTAGACCTGGACTTGGCGTACAGATGTTGCCAATACATACTTCATCACTGCTGCAAGTTTCACCTCCGCAAGAAGTTGGGTCGCTAAGAGCCACGCAGGAATCTTGGATACAAGCATAGTTGATGGGGCAATTGACACCTGATGCGCCGCAGTTGACCGGGCCGTCGGCCGGTACACACTCGTTGTTAATGCAAGCAAATCCTGGCTGGCAGGCTGATGTCGCTTGTCTCCGAAGCAGACGCAGGAGACGACTAGAGGTTGTGCCGCAAGATGACGGGTCTTGAACTGAAGCGCATTGGTTGTTGATACAGACAGTGTTGCCAGTACAGGCTGGGTCACAAGTCGAAGCTGGTGACCCGGAGCCATTGTCTCCTCCGTCCTGGCCTGGCGAGGCTCCGTCATCGCCATTTTGATCAGACCCATCTTGGTCTGCTTGTCCATCTCCATTTCCTGAGCCAGAATTTGAATTGGAAGGAGAAGTATTTCCGGAAGAGCCGTCTGTGTCGTCGCCACCTCCAGCAGCTGTGTCACCTCCCCCTTGCCCAGCATCGCCTGAGGTTGCACCATTTCCCTGCGATGAGTCGCTATCGCCAGAGGCGTCTCCACCGTTGGAACCATCTGACGACTGCGAATCTCCATTGGCGGGTGCATTGTCTTGGCCACTTCCATCAGAAGATCCTCCATTTCGGCCGGAGGCATTGTCTCCCGAGCCATTGCTATTCGAATCACTGCCGCCAGAGCTGCCGCTTGCTCCAGAGGAACTACCTTCGTCATTCGACTGTGTGTCTCCATCCCCATCTGCATCGGGAATACGTGCTCCAGGACCTCCAGACCCAGCACCACAGGCGACCCTAGGATTGTTGGATTGGTGAACCAGGTTGCTGATACACTGACCCGAGACGCACACCCGGTTGCTTCCGCAGGATTCTGAGCTGCTTCCGCACTGCGACAAGTCGGTTGAGACCTGGATAGGTGCACACTCGTTGTTTGAGCAATAAGATCCTGGTTGGCACCTTCCATTAGAGCCACAACTGGAGGAAGTGCCCGTGGTAATGTTGAGCGAAAGGCATTTCCCAGAAACACATAGTTGCCCATCCGTACAGTTCTTTGGGTTGGCTCCCAGGCCGCAGTTATAAGTGTCGGTTGAGATGAAGGCTTGACGGCAGTAACCGCCTTGGCACGACGTGCCAAGGGAGCATTCACTGCTGCTCTTGCAGGACTGGACGTTGGTACCGAGCTGAAAAGACACACATGATCCGTCGAGGCACCAGTTGCCTGAGGCACAGGTCGTATTTGAAGAACCGCATGAATTGGGATCTGAGCCAATGGCCAACCTTTGGCATCGATCGTTAACACAAAGGGAACCAGGTCCGCACTGTGTGTTTGTGCTGCCGCAGCGACGAGAATTTGCCGTCACTTGGATTGGGGAACACTTTCCATCATCGCACCATTGGCCCGGCTGACATGGGCCAGAGCTATTGGAGCCTGATGAGGAGGTGCAGCTGTCGCTATTTGATCCATCAAGAGGATAGCATCCACCAGCGACGCAGAGCTCTCCAGCTTTGCATGAGTTGCCGCGCTTCCCGCATTGTGTAGGGTCGAGTCCGATCGTGACGCTTGTACAGCTTCCCCATGTACATACACCAGGAAGAGGACAGCCTCCAGCATAGAGCATGCCAGTTTGCTGGTTGGGCTCACTGTCGCAGGGCAGAGTATGGGATGGGCCAGGATATAGGAGTAAGAGTGAAGCCATCACGGCTCGCCAGTTCATGTTGGGAGCCATGATTGATGTTGGATATTGTTGAACTTGGTATTGATCAACCTCGATGATGATAGAATGCCAGCGAGAAGATCCTTCATCTATATAGCAACTCAACGAGAGCCAGGTGCAGAGGCTGCCACCAGAGACGCCCAAGCATCTCCGTCAATGGCTGGCCTTTCGCTATGTTGGCATGTCGTCATAACAAGGGTCCAAGGGCTCCTCCACCAAGGGTCCTCAGGCTGGCTGCAGTATGCAACGACATCATGAGTGGAAGTTTAATCTGCCTAGAGGCTCCCAACACTTTCGAGCATACCTGCCACGGCCAGTGTCATCAGCAGATGAGACAAATTCAGGACTGGCTAACGTACCAGGCTTGAAGAGGGCTGCTCGAACGAACTCCATTGCACCACAATATTCCCCCACCAGCATTCTGGGTATAACCTCAAGTCCTGTCTCCATTAGCTTGCGGATCCGTCATGTTTCCGGTCACGGGGCAAACCTTGAAACCCTCCCGCCAACGTTCACAGCAGGCTCGACAGAGACTAGGCTCCGGTTGGCAACTTAAGCTCGCGATGAGCGCTCCGGATGAGCTTTGACGACATGATGATCCGGGGTGAACAGCTGCATTTCTATAGAGACTTGGCGCCTACTGTCGATCGTCAGGGCGCGGGAATGCCTCGGTGCCGGGAACAAGATGAAGGCCTGCTAGTCAAGCCTCAATTCCCCAGACTTTTTTTGGTTGCTCAGGATAGCTACCGCTTTCGGCGGCACAAAACGGGTAGGCTAACAGCCTAACACTGACCAGCGGTTGTGGAGTTATCATTGCGGGCCGGTTCAGTTCAAAAGAAGATCATGTGTATAATGCTTAACGAGATGGACCAGGTTCTTTGTCGTCACGATTTGAGTGATTAAAAAGATTCATTGAAGCTTCTTAAGAATTAGAAAGTGCCACTCACTAATACGAGAGGCAACCGCGACTGCAGGTTTGATAGTGGAAGGACCTTCACCCAGCGCTTGGCAATCTAGCAATCTCTTCATGTGTCATTCTGCAAGCACTTAATTGGTTAATTTCATCGGATCTCGTGGGTGTTGATCTTAAAAGCTATCTCCAGATAGCCACTCTTGGTCTGATCAAATCCAGTGAAGATCAACATCAGAAAATGAGATGTGATGCTCTCGTGTCACTCAGTATGGAACTACATCAACGGCTGGCTTTTACTGTCTACGGAGTATGGGGTCCGCATTCTTGGTCTAGATCTAGTCTGTATGACAATAGATACATCATACAGGCTCATATTTACTCCTCGGAGCAGATATCTTCTATAGGCTAGCAGAAACGCAGCATACCTCAAAATCAGATCATATTTGTGGCAAAGAGTCGTCGGATACGTTCCATTTCTTTGATTTTGATTTTTTTGCTTGCTTCCTTGCAGACCTGACAATCAACAGGCCTTTGAATTCAGGCAAACACTACTGTGAGCTAAAGTATCCTTTTGCGATCTCAAGCTTTCTTGTTGACTTTACCGATGTCACCCACTTAGATCTTGGCCTGCTCGCGTATCTGATGTCACTGCCTTTTGACACTTTTTCCGGTGGCTTGCCTTGGCGCAGCCTCATGCCAGGGGTTTTTCGCATTCAATACCAGCGTAAAGTATCTCGTCACCTTTCACGACACGTTATTGGACAGAATTAAGCTGAACTCGGTCAAATTAAGCGACTGACAAGTGACCGTTTGTGGGAATAAGCTTGGTAGATCCGTGCCTGGCAGCTTATGTGACAGGACACTCTCAACGGCGATTGTCAAGCTTTACATGCCACCCCACACTGACATAAGAGCTCATTGTTATGACGATCAGGCACAGTAACCAGCGGTCCTGTGTGATATGAATCAAGATGCGTTTTTGACAGGTCGTTTTCTCCAAGACGCCAACGCCGTCCTAGGACTAGCTTGCAGAGCCTCAACGATCACAATAACCACTTCCAACGTCATGTTCGAGACCCAAGACTGAGATCGACATGATCAGATCATTCTCAAATGTCAACTGAGAGAGCTCACTGATGGCTCAAGTGAGTCTCAAGAATGTAGATCCTTGTTCGTCTCGTGCCCTTCTGATGATGGACACCGGCTTCCAGGGCCGGCGGAAGTTCCCGCAAGTGTAAAAGCGAGCAATGTCAGCTGGCCACCAATCTTTAAATTCATATTCAAGTTCTGCTATTCATCAAGTTCATTATGTTCAGGTCTGTTCTCTCGGATGTTGGGTTGCCGTGATTGTATTATATGCTCCGTTACGGCAGTTTGAAGAGATTGGAATTTAATGACGTATGATGAGATTCAGTAACACAAGACTCATTATGGAGACATGTTAGAATTTGTCTATACTTCTGCCTTACTTTTCAATTATCATTTCCCTTTCCTAGGGTAGGGCTGTCACTCGAAGAATATTAATGCTCGTAGTTTGTTGTCGTCAACAAGCAATGTTCTGAAGAACTCATAGTTCAGAATAAAAGTCCCCTTCTTTGATGATCTTTATAGTCCCATGCTCGTGTTCTATGCGTTTTGACTGATAAAATCGCTTACTATACCTGGCTGCAAAACTGACATGTCGATCAAGACGATATATCCAAACCCGTGGGAATAATCATATTCCACCGCACCACCATGATCCTGTCTCCCGGAAATAAACGCTTCACCATCTGAACAGTAGTAGGATTAAGTTTTGTGTTAAGCCAATCGCATTTGTTTTGCTGTTGGTGGCCCTGAATCACATTCCTAGACAAAGTGAATCTTACCGCAAAGAAGCGTGACATCAGGCAGGTGAGGAGCCAGGCCTCCAGGCCAGAGACTAGCATAAAATTTACGACTTTAATCACAAGTTACAAATTTTAGGGTGATTGAGGAATATCTAAGGAGGATTTTGGGTTACGTAGCCCAGAGGTAAGTTTGTTTTCCTCTATGGTCAAACAGCCTCGCTCGCTGGGCTGGGAATTTTGACGTTTACGGGGTCCGCCCCGAGCGGGAGCGGGCTTTTCAGCGTTGTTATTCCCATTATCGAGATCTACCGTGGGCAGCCCGTGGAATCGAGATCTGGCCAATCAGCACGTGTATATCTCATGCACCTGCGGCTCCAGGCAGGCCTGCGTCTGATCTAATTGACTGCTGCCCGACCTCGCTCAGGCTCAGTACTTTGACCATTGGCCCTTGCCTCGGTTTCTGCCGGCTCTCTACAAAAGTTCTCAACAAGCGCAATGGCTACATCCAGGTCAGCGGGCATGGCGGGAATAAGTTCGGTCTTCTTCATGAATTATTGGTCTGGAGCATGGGTTTGACCTGCCCCCCAAGTATGCAGATTAGCCATTTATGTGGCAGGCCCGGCTGTTTGGAAGCGTCTCATGTGTGTCTTGAGACCCCCGAGGATAATAATGCGCGCAAGGGATATAAGGCAATTGTTAGTCTGGCACGAAATTGATACTCTTATATTCGCGTTCATCCCGTCTTATTGGATTGCGGTTTTAAAACTGTGCAGCGTTCAAGACGTGGGACGACTTCTGAACGGGTGGTGTGGTGTATCACGGTGCCTTGGAACTGTGAGTTGCAGGAAAATGGGACCTCTATCCTAAACAAAAGAAGAATACTAGGTAAACTTAGGATAGATTTATAAATTTAGGATAACTTTAGGTAAATTTAGGATAGACTTAGCTAAGTTTAGTATAAGTCTAGTGGAGTTTAGACTGGCTGTTTCCCCTTCTTCTCTGCTCGTGTGTGAGGCGCGTGATGTGAGCCATCAGCTGTCAGGTCTACCAACTCAAAATAACACTCTCAGGAACGCATCTTAGGCATATCGCCGTCGATGGCTGTCTGAAAAGACTCGGTGCGAGTCTGGACCACCGACTTCTTGGCCTTTCCTTTGGTGTTTCTCTCACGGTGTGTGGCACTAAAGCATGTGTAGAGACGGATGACGTCCTGATCCTCGAGGGACAGGAGGCGAGCGACGGTTTCGTCTAAATGGATGTCAGCAGCTGGAAGAGGAACGGCAAAGAGAACGAGAATGACCTACCGAGTGTTTCAGGATCCCAGCACTCCTTCATCTTCTCGATCGCCGCAGTACGGAACTTGCCCCCGTACTCGAGGGTCTTCTTTCCCTTGCGAACATTGATTGGGGTGCCAGTCTCCGACACGAAGGCCTCGAAGATGGTAAAGAGATCCTCATCTGCGATGAAGGAATCTACAGCCTCGTTGTCGATGAGATTGGTGATAGTCGAGTCGCCGCTCTTGCGGCTCCTGGCAGATGATCGCCGGCTACGTGGACCGACCTTCAGGTCGGCCACCATCTCCGTGAGTTTGGCGACCTGGTGAGAGAGCTTGATCTGTCAGTGGAATCGGGGCTAGGGGATAACAGTAAAACAAACATATTCCTGGTTGTTAAGTACAGCGATGAGGGCTGGGGATGCTGCTGAAACGTTCTCCAAGGTCATCCATGGCCTTGCAGAGGCCGCGTCGACTGAAGGGTCCGGTCCAGTCCAGGCCAGCATCAGTTTTCGCCGGGGG